CGACACCAATCGCATCGTGTTAAGATCAGATGGGCTGATGTCTTCAGATGATATGCTCCTGTGGAAATAGTAGTTACTGTATGTAACTATGCATAAGCGATGGCTGGAATCAAATCAACAGCTTCTTTGAAATATTGCATTTGTTTTGCGTTGCTGTATTAGCTAGTTATCGTGTTAAAAACTGAGTGCAACTGGACCAGCTGTGTTAGTGGGCAGGGCTTGAGGCGTACGGTGGCTTTAGCTCCATATTTTTGTAATATGTCTTTCAGGGATCTGTAAAATAATTGTTCATTAGGGTTTTTAAACCAGGGATGTTGTTTTTGTATCATACTTTTCGTTGAGTTGTGATCATGATTTTAGCAAATGCTTCAATTCCTGCAGGAAGAGCAACCTCTGAGTTAAACTGTATCTCGCTGTAATACTCTCAGTTAGCACCGTTTTGTTTGCTTGGACTCTGTCTTCACCCGGTCTGGGAAATACTCAGACTTGGACTTGTCTCTGACTCGAGTGCTGTTGACTACAGTCTTGCTTAAATAGATTTGTCTGTGCACACTAGTGGCTCAGAGACCCCTCTCCAAGGCAGCGTTGCACAACCGTTGGTTATCTCCGATGGACTCTGGTACGCGCACAGTTGGCCCAGCACTGTTCCTCATCATCCAGCAACTTGTTGTCGAGCAGGAAGCATCGATCTCTGCCTGTACTGTGCGTTGTTGCCGTGCTGCCTGGAGTGACTCCTCGCCGGTGCCCTAAATATTGTTACATCATTGTGCATCAACACAATGCTGATGGAGAGATGAGACAGTCTGCAGAAAACAAGGAAATGTGTCATCCGATTGAAGTCGGGAAGGATTGGAAGACGGGAGTGAGGGATGACGGACGGGTAAATGGAGGGGAGAAATCAGATTCAGAGGTAGAGAAGGTTTGAGCGAGCAGGAAGGATGATGAAGGAAAGGGGGAGGAGAGAGCGGCTGGTAGGGTGGGTTGGGTTGCTAGGGGAGAGTATGTCAGACTGCTGCCGCTGAGAGCCAGGCCTGCTATTGGAAGCTACTTGCTTAGCAGGAGAGAGGCGGAAGAGGAGAGAGAGAAGTAGCTAATGAGTATTGTAGGTTGGTTGCTGAGACAGCACTGGGTTTATTTATAGAGCGCTGGCCAGCCAGCCCTTAGATACCAACAGCGAATCAGCTGACAGAGAAAGAGGGGGCCCCGGCCAATGGCAGCGCAAGAAGGGGGATGCCAGATTGAGGAAGTGCTGTGAGTGCCTCTCAGTCTCTTAAAGAGACGGTGCGGATTTCTCAGTACTAGGCAGATATTCTCTCCCTCTCTCCAGCAGTGTCATATCTGTAAGCAGGCCAGGACCCAGAGCACCACAACAGTCCCAGTGACGGTGATTGGATTACTTTCTCTACCTTATCGCACAGCCCAACACAAGTGCAGCACACACGCAGTTCAACAACAGAGGTTCAAAGCTGCTGAGTGGGTTTTTTTTTAACTTCACAAATAGAACCTCATTTAGCCACAGAGCTCTATTTAGAAAAAAAAAAACCTCTCAGGGAGCCATTCGGAAGATGTTGAGCGCTGAATAGGAGAACTGTCTACACCGTGTATGGTAGATAATAATGGCGAGGAACCTATAATTACAAAAGTTAGGCTATTCTTACATGTTCACAGAAAATATCTGCCCTGAATTATGTTATAGTGATATAAGAATAGACCTGATTCTGCAGGCCTGAAATATCTTAAACTTTGACTGGTATTGAGAGCAGTAGCACTGTTTTTACAGCACAGGAGCTCAGCATTACAAACAGGGTTTGCCCTGTTTATGTAAATCTATGGACATCTAATTCCGATTGACCCATTCTAGCCTGCTTTACCCACTCTGACCTGCAGTAGTGTCAACCTGTTTGGTAGCAGGGCCGATCCATGCATCTCCTTCATCAGTTGTGTCTTGGATTAAACTGATTGGATTAACACCTGTAGTCATAAGGCTTGCACAATTATTCGAATATCTATTGCGATCACGATTTTGGCTTCCCAAAGGGACAGGGTCGACTGCGATATCAATGTTTAAAATGCGCGCTCTGCGCTTCCTAAAGACGAGTAATATACTGCTAATTGTAAGGGAAACATCAAAATGCACTAAATTCAGGTGAAGAAGAACTGTATTTTAAAGCGGTGAAAGCGGTGCTCTGTTCATTCAAATGTAAAAGTGGCAGAAAAATATTTTGTCAAAAAATCAATCAATAATTGTGATAAAATATAATGGATCAATATAATTGTGAGTATCATTTTGGCCATAATTGTGCAGTCCTATTGGTCGTGCAAGTGAATATAGAAAAAGTAGCATTTCTAAAAGTCTGGTTGCTCGTAACCTACTTTCATTTAATTTAAATAATCCTCCCCCGATTGCAAACTGTATTTCCTGCAGTTCTGCTGCTTCACAATAAAAGTTTTACTTGTATATAGACCTTATACAGGGACATCTGCTATTTATTTTACACAGGTAGGTCCAACTGTTTAATCACAACATGAATTGTTGTCGCTGAGATTGCCTTTACACAAACCCACCTCATTCTTGGTGGGTAAAAAAGTCAAATGTTAATTTCTCATGTCCCACTTTATGCCATAGTTTTATTTTAATACTGCTGCCTCCTCTGTTATGGAAAGCTCACTCTTGCCTGAAACTGGAGCATTGCATTCATTTAGGTGAGAGTCGTACAGATGCAGAGACTGATTCATTTGCATCTGCACATTTTGAGGTTCTCTTACATAAAAATTTGTGTACAAGAGGGGGATTTTGGGCGTTTTTGAAGACTTTCTCCACAGAGGCTATCAGTGAGTCCATAGATGGAGGCCATGCGATGGCGACACGTACTCCATAGTACATGTGAGAGGCAGCCAATGTAACCAGTCTCTATGTGACCAAACAGTGAGTTAGAGCTCCTGTTGATGTTTTCAAAATCTTTCACTTATCGGGCACAAATCAAATCAAGCCGTCACTAATTAGGCCGTAAAGCCTGGCTTCGTTCTTACCCACACATGTTATTTTTTATGGTAGCTAGCTCACTTGCTATGTGAGCTAGCAGTAGGTGCTTAGCCTAGCGGGCGAGACTTACGTTTAATGATGATTTGACCAGAATAATATTTAAAAAGGGTGGGGTTTACCAAGATGAGCGTCACTGATACATCCACGGTCCACCAGAATTAGTTTACATCGAAAAGTCAAAGAGCAACTGTTATTACAAACTCTCGCTCTGATTGGCTATCTATTTGGTGGGTGTGTCCATTCCCCCCCACTCCCCACAGAAAGAAGCAGAAATGCTGTGTGTGCGTGTTTGCTTTACAGGATGAGACTGACAGATGCAAAACTCGGCAGCCCTCATGTTGTCGTGCCGACCACCAGCTGTAGTTCTTGGAGTGTGTCTGGCTGTTAGCTCGGCCCCGTGTGTGCCCAGTGTCACCCCAGTGTTGGCCCATGGAGCCCGCTGAACTGGCATGAGAGGAAGTCGGTAGAGGGAGCTCTTTGATTGGCTGATGTGAATCACATTCACCCATTTAGTGCAGATTTATGACCTCGGCATTTTTTTTCTCTTTTGTAATTTTATTATCAACTGATGAAGTCTTACGGTCCAGGGATGTGACAAAACCGCTTAATGAGAGTCACAATGACATGAAAATGTTTGTCTAGGTTGCAGATCGTTCCTTCATTTTGGTAGCCAGCTGACCGTTGGTGGTTGTCTTTGTGTTGTATCAACTTTTAACTCGGACACGATGCTCATCTTTATTCATCTGACAGCTAGTAGGGCTGCATGATTAATGGAAATCCCATCACAATCTTGATTCCGGCCTCTATGCCATCTCATTTTTACTGAATGATTCAAAGACAAAGATGGCGGTCAGAAGCTCCCACGTCACTTTGCAAGCAAAAGTAACGGCGCAACCAACTGAAAAACGTAAGAAAACAGCCAGAAAATTCCCAAGGCGTTGTGAAAACAAAAGAAGTCAGAGATTAGGCAGCAGACTTATTCGTGTACAAAAAGTTGGATTGGAATCTATTTCAGCCGCCTTAGCGTGACATAGCAGCCACTTGAAGGTCGTCACAGACACATCCGTATTGTGTCAGTACAGATATCTTCAAGGTATGTTTGAGGTCAGAGTAAAACATCCTGCTTCGTACATTTTTGACTTATAGCTCTTTAGTGACCAGATTTAAGGGATCCTTCTCAAACTTAAAGGTGTTGCCAGGGTGACTAGACATCATCTTTTGTTTGCCATCTTAAGTCTCCTCACAGTTGGAGTAATTAACTATGCAGTTATATGACTTTATTACAGTAACCAAACCAAACACTGCAGTCAAACAATAACATTAGCCCTTGTCTCTAAAACACAGCCCTGTGAGCACCAACACACATTCTGCTTCTGACTGTAACAAATATAACTAATGCAACAAATATTACAAATTTGTTTATTTTGGGGTGCACGTGTTGCTGTCTGCTGATCTTATTTATATGTTAAAAAGTAGGACAAGAAATGGTTGTCAATTTCTAAAAATAGTTTTTAATGGCAACCTGGCAACCATGACCGACGAGTCCTGTTATGTTACTTCTTGAAATAAAAATATTTTCTATAATTACATATTGATGTTGCGGAAAAGCCTCAAAAATCCAGTGGCAATCATTTTAGATTTTGCGACAGTTTCAAATGGTCAAATCGGAGAGTCCTCTGCATGTGTTTAAAATGTTCAGAGTGTTTTTGGAACTTGGTACGGAAAGACTGTCCTGCTTCTCCAGCTGGACGTGGTGAGTAGATAGTAATGTATGTATGGCCAATATGGAAACTAATGATCAGCGACTGTGTGGTTTCTGATCAGTTGGGATCACTTGTAGCATCGATGGACCATCGATGGAGGCAGAGAGACGGATTAGAATGTTGGGGTTTCCCTCTCTAATCATCTCTCTCTCTTCTCTCTCTCTCCCCCCTCTCTCTCCCCCCTCTCTCCCCAGGTGTAAGCAGCTCAGGATGTCCGCCCACCTCCTCCTCCTCCTCCTCCTCCTCCTCCTCCTCCTCCACTGCCCAGGGCTTCTCCCTCGCTGAGCCAGCCATGACCAGCCAGCACACACATACACACCCCTCCTTCAGCTCCATCCACTCCATGGCCGAGCAGCAGCAGGTAACACACACACACACACACACACACACACACACACACACACACACGCACACACACACACACACTCGGTGCTGCACCAGTACAGGCCTCTGGCCCAGGAACTGATTTATAGTTCGCCTGTTTCACCTGTTGATTGTCACTGCAGCGCTGGGCGTCGTTCTTTCATTCACTTTTTTGATGGAGATTAAAACAATGTCTTCTGTGATCATTGATGAAAAAAAAAAGTCATATTGTGCAGAGGCAACGGCTGTGCTGGATCACAAAATATATATAGTGTTGCTAAAAAGTAATGGATTACATTTTTAATGTGCTTGTACTTTTTTTTTTAAACTATCAATAATCTCAGAAACTCACAAGCTCCCATGTGGGTCATGTGGCCTCCCTGATTTTAAGGGGTGTTAAACTTATATATATATATTTTTAAAGATACAGTTGGCCTGTATCTTAGCATTTCATTCATTTCTGTGAAGAAAACTAAATGAAATAGTTATCTTTAAAGTTTGGATTATTATTTAAGATACAAACCCGATGACGGCTAAATCAATGGAATAAGACGTCATCAGTAGCGGCTAGTGACTCAAAAGAATCCTAAAAACGAGGATAAATCGCACTGTTTCCTGGAGAAGCTCGTACCACAGTCCAGGAAAGAAGCCAACCGGAGCACCTCCGATCCAGGAAGCGCAACAGAGCACCGGCTGAGCAACTTTTCTACCCTCGCAAAGACAATCCGAGGGTCATGGGAATTTAATAACCCCGTTAACGTGTGATCCGTGGATCCGTAATAAGGCCAATGACCGCGTCCCCCCAGCTGTTCTGTGGGAGGGTTGTGTTGACATGCATGCTGAATATGTGGAGCACGAGCCGTGCATAAGATATTTGGGTTGAGTCAAGAATAGCATTTGACTCGAACACGGTTGGACTGTGGTGGAAATATACTATAAGCAGCAAAACATGTTTTACACACCTAAAGAATCAATATCGGTTTAAGTGTACGCTTTACTTACAATATTTTTACCCCGTTTACCTTGCCGTCCGACAGTCAACAAGGAACCGAAGCAGTTACCTGTGCTTTCACCAATGCCACCAGACTCCATCGACAAAAACTGTATTCTTACCGAAGACGAGAGTTGCTGGTCTGCCGCTGCTTCAGTTTTCTGTTGTTTTTTTGTGTAATTGTGGGACTTTGGTTAATCCGAACTAGCCAGAGTCACCCAATCAGAGTCACCCAATACAACAAATGAACTAACTGATGGAGGCAGCGGTAGACCAACGGCTCCTGTTCTCTGCGAGGTGAAAGTACTGTTTTTGTCAATGGAGTCTAGTGGCTTTAGAGAGAGCACAGATGACTATAACAACTTCAGTTCCCCGTCAGAAATGGCTCTTTGACGGCAAGGTTAAGCAGTAAAAATATTCAAAATATAGCGTACATTTTCTTTGAGTTGGTAGATGATGGACTGAATATGGATAAGTACCTCATACAACCCCTCTTCAAAACATCTGAACTATCCCTTTAATTTAACAAACATTTTACAGCTTGTAAGCACCAAATGTGTAGCATATCTTTTTTTTGGGCCTGAAAGTAGGTGGGATGTCATAGATTATTAATTTAGATAATCAGTCCATGTTATATGTGTGGCAGTAGGTTCATATTGGTCTTGGTCATAATTTGGCACAAACTCTGGTACTGTAAATGTGAACTGCGTGACGTGAGTTTGAAATTGATACACAATGTTTTCAGTCGTATAAAAAATGTATTAGTGATGTCCTGAAATGCCTAAATGTTTTCTAGATTCTCTGCTGATTTCAACCTGAGTCGCATGTATGACGTGTTGCTGCTCTCTGTAGGTGCTGTCTGATATGACCATACTCCAGCGGAGGATCCCCCCTAGTTTCAGAGACCCTGCCAGCGCCCCACTGAGGAAACTCTCTGTTGACCTCATCAAAACTTACAAGCACATCAATGAGGTATGACACATGGTATACCACACACACACACACACACACACTTGTTTGTCTTTTCTTTGATCACTCTTTCAGGTTGTCCGTTTGTTTACCTGTTTTCCTGAGATCAAGCCAAAGCAGGGATAAAGCATTGTTTAAGGAATGCACGGCTGTCGGTGGACCACCACTAGTTTGGGGTTTACTCTTTAGGCAACCGTAGGCATGCGTGCCACCATTGGTGTGCGGTAGCTTAACCAATGGCACACCAGCAATAAGTGTGCACGAGAGTTTTTAGGACCCTTTCATCCGCATGCCAAATGACCTCTTTCAGAGCTATTGGAAGTTAAGCAGCTTGTTATTTACCGTAGTTAGATTCATTCTCCTCCCCCATTCGTGAAGACCCGCCCTACTCTGCCTCTGAATGGCTAGTCCTCGTTTAGGTTTATTGCTGATGAACATGATTGGTTGAAGGTTGGTAGGGTTCATGATTTCAACTCAGATGTTTCCTTAAGAATGGCAGCCTTCTTGTACAGTGCTCTCATATATAGTTACAATGTGCTGATTATGGGAGAAAATGTTACTATGCACGTTGCCTTTATGGATTGAACAAAATGACAGATCCATAGGTACATTAAAATTGTGACGTGGTGTCATAATCAAACTAAGTGTTAACCTTAATGTTGATGTGACACAAGAAAAAAAAAAAAGGCAACCAAGAAAATGTAAAAATGGCCGACTGGGCTGGGAGCAGCCGAAGCTGCTTTTTTGATGTATTTGTTCCGACCCACAGGTGTACTATACTAAGAAGAAGCGACGGGCCCAGCAGGTCCCTCCAGAGGACAGCAGCACCAAGAAGGAGAGGAAAGTCTACAACGACGGCTATGACGACGACAACTACGACTACATTGTCAAAAACGGAGAAAAGTGGCTGGACCGCTATGAGATAGACTCGCTGATCGGGAAGGGCTCCTTCGGACAGGTATGAACACTGAATCCACATTCATTGCTAGTTTATAAAGTCTTCCTCACAGATGATGATGTCTCAAGTAGCTCCTACAGTCAGTAACACGTTAGTCTCAGTGAACTGCTAGCATTATTATTATTATATAACAGAACAAAGCCTGGGACATCAGGCTGTCAGTCATTCCCTGTCTAATGAAAAACAAATGAAATCCTAAAGCATGTGTTGTTATGTGTGTCTGCAGGTGGTGAAGGCCTACGACCACCATGAGCAGGAATGGGTCGCCATTAAGATCATTAAGAACAAGAAGGCATTTCTAAACCAGGCACAGATTGAACTACGCCTGCTGGAGCTCATGAACAAGCATGACACTGAGATGAAATATTACATAGGTAAGAACACACACACATGCACACGTTACAGAGGGGTGTGAGAGTACAGGGGTCAGATATGAAACATATACAACCTCTGCTTATACTACACTGGTCGTCTTCATACACGGACGTGTTCACACAGGTTTGTTGTGCGGATCCTCAAACATGAACAGATTGGTCAGAGTAGAGTTGAACATCCAACGTATTCATGGTGTCAGACCTCCCGGTGTTGTATACCGGCACACTGCAAGACGTGTCAATAGTTTACTTATGTCTCTAAATGCGTCTATCCACACGATGGCATGAGTATCTGATCTGCATTCTCTGCTCAGGTAGACATTACTCCACTATATCTTTACATAGATGATAGTTAAACAAATGTAGCACCTTTAAAAAAAAAAATAGTACACAAAGTCAAAGTACAGTTGTCATGGAGATGGCTCTGTTGTCATCAACATGCTTAGCTCACAGGTTGAGGTGTGAGCCATCTCATTCTCATTCTACAAAACCTTCATCCACTGAAAAACAGTTAGTTAGTAAGGGACCTTGAGCTGTTCTATTAGGATAGCACATACCGTGACAATACAACATGAAGGTTGAGGTAAGAATGGATTATGAAAGAACACATTTATTGACTCCTTATCTCAGCTCTGATGTGAAATTTAGGAACTTAAATGGCTCTTAGTTCTGAAAGCCAAGACTCAATAAGTGGGGAATTTTCAAAGAGCAATTGACAGGAAATGATTTTATTGTTGTCAAGTACTCTTGCCAAACCGGATTCTTGTTTGAGTTTATCTTTTAACCTTTTTCTTTGTCTCCCATCTGTCTTTGTCTTTGTGTGTGTGTGTGTGTGTGTGTGTGTGTCTGTCTGTCTGTCTGTCTGTCTGTCTGTCTGTCTGTCTGTCTGTCTGTCTGTCTGTCTGTCTGTCTGTCTGTCTGTCTGTCTGTCTGTCTGTCTCTGTGCAGTCCACCTGAAGCGTCACTTTATGTTTAGGAACCATCTCTGTTTGGTGTTTGAGTTGTTGAGCTACAACCTGTACGATCTGCTGAGGAACACCAACTTCAGAGGAGTCTCCCTCAACCTCACCAGGAAATTTGCACAGCAGCTGTGTACAGGTGGGTGCATGGAGACACAAACATGTCTTCATGAATGTAGCTGGTGGTTGTCTGCCCCCTAGTGGACGAAAAGAAAGGAGGACGAATGCAGTTTGAAATCGTCTTCAAATCAGGAAGGAAGAATATTGTCGGTCAAAGACAAAGGACTACATTGAATAGTAATGGAAATATTTATCAGGGGGATGATGGAAGCGTTTTGACAGTTGCCTTTTCCCTTTGAGTGCAGTGGTTATGCCATAGATGCAGATTAATGCTGCTAGAACATCAAGACACATGTGATATATTCATCATCTTACAATAGGTTTCTAAATATACAAAACAAGGAATACGAAAACAAGATAATCAAGAGAATATTGTATCTAATACATATTTGACTAATCTATTTATATGTATTAGTTTATATATTGAATATTTTGTGTTTAGTATTTATCAGAAGGTTGTTGATGTGCACTAACGTTACAGCATACTTCAACTTCATTTATTTTAATGCAATTTTTTTACGTCTTATTTTTATTTATTTATTTACGTTTGTTTTTGAATTTAATTATATTTAAAGTTCAATAAAATCCATGGTATAAAAAGACAATAAAAAATGTATTAATTGCATGATGTTTCCAAAGTCAATGAGTTATCGCATTGAATAATCTTCACGTCAAGATTTGCCCAAAATAACGTGATTATGATTTTTTTGTTGCCATAATCGAGCAGCCCTAATATATATGATGTCTGTTCTTGTCCACAGCGTTATTATTCCTGGCCACTCCAGAGCTGTCAATCATCCACTGCGACCTGAAACCAGAGAACATCCTGCTGTGTAACCCCAAGAGATCCGCCATCAAGATAGTCGACTTTGGGTCCTCCTGCCAGCTGGGACAGAGGGTGAGCAGCATCCACACACATGTTTAAACACACACACACACAAACCTTCCAAATATGCCTGTAGAGTACACTTATTAGTTTACTTTATATAAAATTATATATTATAAATTCATCCCGCCGGTGACCATAATCATCAGGGTTCAGAAAATAGATGAGTGAATGGTGGATGAATGTATCACACATAAGTCCCAGTCAGCATGGTTATCAGGGGTTCTGTATAGAGTTTGTATGAAGGGAACATTTCCTGACTGGCAGTAACCAGACTGTGGATGAGAACACGGTTCCTCACAGTGGACAGCCACTGAAACAGCATGAGCGTCATTTCACTTTTAGACTTTCTAGTTGTTACCGATGCCCCCCATCCCATCCTCTCAGATCTACCAGTACATCCAGAGCAGGTTCTACCGCTCTCCCGAGGTCCTGTTGGGAATGCCGTACGACCTGGCCATCGACATGTGGTCTCTGGGATGCATCCTGGTGGAGATGCACACAGGAGAGCCTCTCTTCAGCGGCTCCAACGAGGTAACAAACATATCGGCTAAGTAGGGCTGCGCGATGATTCAGCGCTCTCATATCCACATTCACGTTTGATTCAGCATGTTGTCACTAAGCTAATCATGAGTGTGTGTTTGTTTAGGTTGACCAGATGAATAAGATTGTGGAGGTTCTGGGGGTCCCGCCCAGCCACATGCTGGATGCAGCTCCTAAAGCCAGGAAGTATTTTGACAAGCTGTCAGACGGTCTGTGGACAGTGAAGAAGAACAAGGACGTCAAGAAGGTATTTGATTCAGATCCATTTACAGTTTGTTTTATTAAAAAGTCAACTTTCTCCTGTTAGTCTTGTGTCTTCTGACTCCTGATGCTCAAGAATCCAATGTGGGACTTCTAGTTATTGCAAATGCATAAGATCTACCACAAGAGTAAACAAAACCATGTTGTAAGGGGAGACACTACAGGGGAATGGGGTCAAACATGTAACTGATAGATATCTCTATGAAACTTGCCCAGGTGATTACTTATATTCAAGACTATTATCTTTTGCATTACAAGTTTTCTGAAGTATGTAAATGAGGCATTATCTAATGAGAACTCTACAGACACACATTTATTACAAAGTAGTAAAACAAAACACCTAAATGAGTATTTTGAATGTTTTCTTTCCACAAATCTGAAAGAAGAAAAGTTATGGAAGCAAAATAGTCTATAATCTCAAAATCAACGGGTGCATGAAAAGCTATTTCTTTGCCTTAAACAAAAGAGGGGCAGCAGGTGAATGACGTCACTGTGAAGCATGTGAAAAGGTGTTTAGATGCTGCAGACGGGTTTTTGGGAGCACTGTGTCAAAGTGTATGAAGGCCCGCTTTTACAAATGTTGGCCTCTTAATATTTTAGCCACTTTTTCAAATTGTAGACCGGAGTTCTCATTGAGAACTACTTTCTGCTGAAGGAAAAGAATGAGAGGACTGTCCTCGGCCAAGACTGTGGATGATTCGGACGGTGGTTGTTGTGGGGTTTTATTCACCTTTTATTGTATTAGTGCTGGCACAATTCTCAGTATCCAACAGTTACAATCCTCAGCAAAGTGTAAGCACAAAGTAATATACACACGTAGTATTCGAAACAATACGGGTGTATTGGAAATGCAAATATAAGCATGTTTCAAGCTAACTGCTTGTGTATCGTGGTAGTGGGAGTTAACGGAGGATCCTGATTCATATCTCTCTGTTTCTAAATATGCGTGTTTGTGTGTTTTCCAGGAGTATAAGCCCCCGGCCACACGGCGTCTTCATGAGATTTTGGGTGTAGAGACTGGGGGCCCAGGGGGGAGAAGGGCAGGGGAGCCGGGACACGCCCCCTGTGACTACCTGAAGTTTAAAGGTAAGCCAGCACTTTGTATTGATCTGAAGGGATAGATACGGCATCTATTGGTTCCCTAAAAATGATTGGTTTGTATTTATATTTCCAAGATGTCTTTCCATCGATATGAATACAGCCAACATTACAAACATTGAGAGGAAGTTGCTGCGTTGTAGAGAATCACATTCTGTGTGTGAGCAGGAGATGGTGTATAACATGTTTAAACAAGCTGAGCATCTCAACATGTTAATGATATGTCAGAGCATGTGGTGAGAGTACCAGCCTCTTCACCCTGTACACAGAGCCTAAACAGAACCTGTCCTTTGTCCTCCTCCAGACCTGATCCTGCGCATGCTGGACTACGACCCTAAAAGCCGCATCACGCCATTCTACGCCCTGCAGCACAATTTCTTCAAGAAGACGACAGATGAAGGAACCAACACCAGTTCATCTACATCCACCTCTCCTGCCATGGACCACTCCCATTCAACCTCCACTACTAGCTCTGTTTCTAGCTCTGGTAAAGTACACCAACAGTGACAGTGATTATCTACAGCTGAGAGGGAAGATGGAGCTTGGACTGTCGACCATGACTGCAGGCAGCTCACTCACTTTGATCTGGCTGTTAGTGTAAACCACATCCACTCAAGATTCATATCTTCTAAGATTCTGAATCAATTCACATCTTCCAAGAATTAATTATTTTATTGTTTCTACAATTTCTACAAAAGAGCCTAGATGTTGCTACTAAAGGACAGTATGCTACACACCAAGTATGAAGCATTACTGGGTGATTGGTTGAAAAATTACACCCAAAGAAACAGAAATACAAAAGGCAGCTAGCCTAAACAATTGTATTCATGTGACAGGCAGCATTTTGTTTATCTCTAACTTGGACTTAATGTTCCTGAAGTCACTAAGAATTGAGAAATACCTAAAACTTTTTAGTAAAAGTTGTTTATATGTGTAACATGTGTCTTAGGGTGGTGTGTTTACATTACTGCAATCAGTTGATAGAACTTTTTCAAATATAAATACTACTCCTTACACACTTTATTCTGCGTTCCTGTCATAATTTGCCACACCGCCTTCATAAGCGCACAGCGGACTGGAGTAAATCCTGAGACGTGCTGAATCAATTTTGAATGGAATGGCGAGATACCGACAGATCGACACCCTCGGTCCACATGTCGTCACCCTGCAGCATGACACGCCCCCAAACTGTACCAAAGTAAATAAACTGTGTCTCCACAAAACAGACCATCAACGCAGCCAACAGCGGTGTGAGTTTAATGCCGGTCTGTTTTATCTCCAGGTGGCTCCAGTGGTTCTTCCAATGACAACCGCAACTACCGCTACAGTAACCGCTACTACAACTCTGCTGTTACACATTCAGACTATGAGATGACCAGCCCTCAGGTATGTTTTACAGGATGTCCCGTCCTGGTTCATTCAAATGCAGCAGTAAAATGTCTCTAACCCCTCAAAGGGTTCAGATCTTGGATCCTGAGCAGGGTCCACATTTACTCCAGCAGATACGTGTTGTGCTTCTTCTTTAGAGCGTGTCTGTCACTCTGAATGCGTCTCACCTCTGTGTCCCTCCCCCGTCCCCCCCCCCCCACCAGGCTCCCTCCCAGCAGCAGATGAGGATGTGGCCAGGCAGTGATGGTGGAGGTGGGGGTCAGGACCCAGCATACACCCAGTTGCTGCTCCACAAGCCGGCTGCCTCCCAACAGCACCAGCGCCACTTCCTGGACCCGCCCCACCACCCACACCCGACCTACTCCCACCACGGGAACGGCGGGCGCGGCCTGCGGCAGAGTGGACAGACGGGCATCGGCGGAGGGGGGGGCCAGCAGGGATCCTCGCCCCAGATGAGTGACAGCATGGATGTGGGCGTGTCCCTAGGGCTGCACCACCTGGGGGCGGTGTCTTCCATGGAGGCCTCTCAGTTCGGCTCGGCCTCCCTGCCCCTCGCTCTGCCAATCGGACTGTCTGCCTTCCGGACTCGGACGGCCCCCACCGCCCCAGGGCCACAAGCCCCGCCCCCTGAGGACTACTACCCTGCCTCCAACAACAATAACCCCGCTGCGGGGGGCAGAGGGAGGCCGGACTCAGACGAGGGGCCAGCCAACTCTTGATAAAACCTGAACCATGCCCTAAAGCCATACAATTTTAACTACAACTACTACAACTACACACATACAGCCAGAGTTCAGAGACAAAGAGGTGAACTTTGTGCTGAAGGAGACAGTTTGTACTGCATGAGAGGAGGAGGAGGAGGAGGAAGGAGGAAGATGCTGGGGGAAACTCTCCCTTTTTATCCCATTTTAGTTTGTTGTCCTTCTGTTGCGACTGTAATTGGAAAGGAATGATTGTGACGAGTTTGTTTTTATTAATATTATTATTATTGTTGTTTAATATTATTTGATTTTTCTCGGGTTTGAGGAGTTGCGTGTTCTACTTGGTTGTTGTTTAAGCCTGGAGAGGAGGAGGAGGATGAAGAAGGAAGAGAGAGAGGAGCCATGCTTTTCCATTTTACTCCATGTGGTGGCTGCAAGTGGAAGATCACATGTCCATGGTCACATCGGTTAGTTCTGACATTAGTGTATTCATATTTACAGTCCCTAGAGACGAGCAGTCTTAACACACACACACACACACACATCTACTGCTGCATCAAGAAGACAGAAGCTGGTTTCAAAGGGAGAAAACGCCAACCTGTGTGTGATTCAGGACTCCTGTCTGTGTTAAACTCACTTTTTCTTAGAGTTTTTCGCGTCCTCCCTCCGTCGCTCTCCACCTGGTCTCGACGGCGTGCGGAGAGAGGGAGGGAGGGGGGGAGGGAGGAGGAGGGAGGAGAAGGTGGCAGGACACTGATGCCTTCCTGGCGCTCATAGGGATCTCCTTCTCCTCCTCATCCCCTCCCTCTCCCCCTGCTCTCTTCTTCCTCTCCTCCTCCTCCTCCTCCTCCTCCTCCTCCTCCTCCTCCTGTTGTGTTTCTCCTCCAGACAGCTCCTCCTCTCTGTGCTGCTAATCACCATGACAACTGGTCCGGATTGCTGCTAAAGATCCAACACAGATCAATAAAGAAATAAAAAGAAATAGAAACAGAAATAAAAAAAAATAAAAAAAACTTTTTAACCCTTCTGCTTAAGAGAAAAGGATAAAGTAAGAACCACTGCATCTCAATGTATTTATTACTATTTAACAAGAAAAAACAAACTGAAAGTAACCCTTTTTTCTGCTCTTCTTTGTTTGGTTGCCTTCTTTCTGCAGGTGAGCTCTGATTGGCTATTGTAACAGTGACAGTAACTGGTGACATGGGAATGCCACCGGTTGTGGGGGCTGGGTGGAGGGGAGGGGTTTGGGGCAAAATAAAGTTGGATATATAATAAGAATAAAGAGTATACTTTTGCACACCAAAGTCAAACAAACATGGGATCTCCGCTTTTCTTCCTACTAATCCGATCCACCACCTCATGACCTCATGTCTTGTCAGGATGACGCTCCACAGGTCGCTCTGGATGCTCCTCTGGTGCCTTCACACCTCCGAGGGGAAGTGAAAGGGGTCCATATTCAATAAGTAAATAGGACGCGAGGTACATAATCGCATGAGTGAATACACACCGGGAACCATGAGCAGGCAGCCAATCACAGCTTGCTGTTATTTTGATTGACAGACAAACAAAAAGTGTTTAAAATAGAACAGTCATTGACAGAATTCAGAAAAAAACACTGATCACACAGTTCATGGAAGAAAGTATAATGAGCTTAGCTTTACACATTACTTGGATTAATTCCTGATTTTGTGGTAATATTTTTTTGATACTTTTTATTATCTAATGTAAATGTGATTTTGATCGGGTTTGGTTCCACTGAGTCATAAAATTCAAAAAAATGATTTTTGAGGTTATTCCTGAGGGACGTTCCTAAATGCTCAATGTAGGAATAACTTTTAAGATACAAACACTTGTTGAAAAGTGACCTTGATCTTTTGGTGGCTTTTACATCACCTGTAGTAACTGTGTAAGTACTGTGGGAGGCGGAACAAGGAGAGAGAGTTCCCTCTGCAGCTACAACCCAAAATCCACCCACAGCAGAGTTCCTCATACTGAGGGCAACAATGAATTGGATCAATACTGCACAGAGTTTCAGCCGACTCCATACTGTTTGGAGAGCAGGAGAGAAGTTAGACACCAGCGACCAGAGATGATCTCCATTTTGACCAGCGGGTCACCATGGTAACCCGCTCCAGACCACGAGCCTGTACCCCGAAGAGAGATCAGCGGGCTCACGAGCGGTCTGTGGGCTTAACTGATCAGATCAAAACCTGACTGATCTGAGATCTGATTACCTTCGAAAAGTCAGTTCATCATCATTCCTACAGGATCCTGACGGGGACAAATGTACTGAGTTTATAATAAAGCGACAAGTAATAAAGTGTAATAGATAAAGATGAAACAGAGCTTCTAACAAACAACGATAGTTCACATCACTAAATACTGCAGCTACATATGAACAGGGATTATAGCTGCATCTCTAATGTGCTAACTTGACACTCTTATTCCATCACTGCAGTTCTGACTGACACGTGGCAGCTTTGTGATTATTATTGTAGAAACAGGACCACATGTCCTTTATTAGAAAACAACCCAAACACTGGTAGACTCTGCTCTGAGAAAGCCTGACGTGTGTCACATATTCATAGCAGTTTGTTCATTATGAAACAAAAACGTACAAATACTCTGTTACTCTCTACTAGCTACTCTATGCTCCTGAAAATGTTAAAAAATGCTAAAGGAAACGCTTCCAAGATTTTTTTTTAAACTGCATAATATATACCAACACCATTCCAACTTCCATACATTTATTTATATCTCGGGCAAGACTGACTAATACTAAAACACGTCATGTTGGTTTGCTGGTCTCCTTTTCTAATATTACATGTAACAGCACAACCATGTTATTTACATCTCTTTATCAGCACAAACTGGGCTATCAGAATATGTCACGTGAATATGTGAATAGTTATATGTGTAATATCCCCATAAATACTTGAGAAAAACAAAAAAATGGAAAGATCACATAACAAAATAGTGAACAAGACTTTTGGCTTTTGAAATGTATTCTTCTCAGCCTTGGTGATCAGGGAAAAAATAAACAGTGTAACCAACAAATATCAAAACTATTTCCATAACAGAAGCCAAATATAATGTAGAAAAATATAATAGAACAGAAAAACAGAGCAAATGATTCATACAGAATGTTACAAAAGAAGCTACAAATATACAGACATCCTGCGGGTTTTTACCACATTTATCAAATCAACACTGGATCACAACAGGAGTTTTGCCCCCCCCTCCACCCCACAGTCCCAAAGACCCCGCGACCCAAGCAGTCAGTCTTAAATATAAATAAAGGTATGGACGTTGGAATGGTGTTTGCATATATTATCCATTCTTTATTTGAATGGATGGTATGGAAATTAAAATAATTAAAAAACTTTAAATAATTTCGATAATCTGTGTCAAATGTCAAAAGATTGTAGCAGTATCGCGTAGTAGTAGTAGTAGTAGTAGGGGTATAAGTAGGGGTATTAGTATTTGTCCGGACTTAGTATACTATCGAGCCACACTCCACACCAGTAGGGGGCGATAACGCGCCATGTCATCGTTTGCTGCATGCCGTCAAACATCAAGAAGAGACGACGCTTTTATTCTGAAGGAGTCCGGTCGGAAGTAGTTTGGTTGCTGGTGTTGTAACAGAAGGTCCATGGAGCCGTACAGTCAGTGGCCGAAGCAGAAGCACGCTGAACGGGGACCCCGCTCTCAAAAATAAAGGTAACGCCGGTAACCTTTCATCCTCATTGAGCTCGTTAACTAGATACAGCGGAGTCAGTGTCGTGTGTCTGTGGACGTTACACCACAGTAGAGGCTCCGCTAGCTTGACTCCATAACTCTGCCCTGAAGTTACAGTGTAGTTAGCGGTAGCTGCTCTTGTTCCATAAGGTTAGGGTTAAACGAGAGGGATCCTCCGCATCCGGGTACTTCTCACTGTCTATTAACGCTAACATTCATTCAAAACCCACAAAGTGAAGAAGTGTCAGCTCATGTTTAGCACCTCACACTGGAGCACTTAGTGTTGTTTTCATAAGCACCAACATTCACAGAAGAGCCTCTGTTCATTGTGTGAATTATATTAGTTTGTTTGTGATGTATTTATTCGTAATGTTCCTATACACTAACGTTACATAACACTGGGCTAAAAAACACATTTTAACAATATATGCATCCTAACTAAGTACTGGCATATCAGTAAGTCATAGCGGAGTCATAAAGCTTTAATATATATATATATATATATATATATATATATATATATATATATAT